ATTTGTTCAAAAACTTTTACTTGACTTATAAATATATATTAAATTAAATTAAAATTTTGAATTATTTATTAATATAAAAATATTAGAAAAATTATAGAACACAATTTATTTCGTTAACATTTTAGAGAGAACTTTAAAAGATATGTATTTATTTGAACAACATAAAATAAGAAGAGTTACTTTTTTTACAAACAAAATATATCTCGAAAATAATGTTTCATATTTATTTAATAATTATTTTACTCTAAAAATATTTAATTTGCATGCAACTTAATAAGAAAAAGTTAAAAAAATTAAATGTTTTTTTAGATCATAACAATGAAAAATGAAAATCATTAATAATAATTTGAAATAGGTTTTTGTTTTTGTTTTTATTTTAGTTAAGTCATCAAAATAATGTGTCATCCACATCACCTCATTAAAGCCACATAAGCAAAAAAAATCAAAGGGTTAACCTGTTTAAAAGGTAATAGGTTACCTATTGCTACAATTGATAGATTTTTTAAAATACGATGTCTTAATAAAAAATAATTTGAAAATACATTACTGTAATAAAGAAAAACAAAAGTAGAATGTTATAATAAGAAAATTTATGAAAGTAGATTGTTATTTCATGCATTTAACCCATAAAAACATTGACTGAAATTATTAGTATTTGCATTAGTAGTGCATAAATCGGTAGTTTATGAAAAAAGGAACATGATTCTCTTTCATCGTTTGGACTCGGTGAAATTTGGAAGTTTTAACATCTTAATAACCGTTGGTATGCCCTCTTGAGCGTATACAGATACATTAAAAAATTACTGACAAAGTGTTCTAGTTTTTATTTTTGTTTTTTACGATTTTTCGTACTCATTTCAAGATTTTTACAATATTATTTTTGGCAAATCTGAGCTAAGATTATATTTTTGTCCATAAATTGTTATGATATTTTGATCATATCTATTTGTTTTAGCATGCTTCTCATTAACTTTTGTTTTTTTAAAGTAGCGTCTTATATATTCTATTAATATTCAAACATATTTATTTTATTTTATTGGCACCGGCATTGATTTTGAGTTACAGACTCAGATTTTCCTTGCGAATGGCGTCATGTCTTGATGCATTTCTTTCTCATATACTCGTCATGTTTACCATTCAAGCCCCTGCTGCTCGTTCGGTGTATTTGCTAATGATTTTGATTTTTGAAGAATGATGTGATAACCAACCTAATTTGTGGCAGCTCAGATGGGTGATGGCGATGTTCTCTAAATTTCTATTAGTCCACCACGTGGATTTGATAAGTTAGGTAATTTTAGTTTATTCGTTTATTATTTATATATAGCACATAATGACATTTTCAACGTTACTTGTGGGACCCACAAAATAAAAAGTCAACAAATAAGTCCAAGATTTGGTAATCTTTAGTTATCTAATTTCATGTTCATGTTCATGTTCATGTTAGCTTTATAACTCATATAAAATCAACATATAGTTGAAGTTTACATGCCAAGATTCCGAGTAACATGTGCTGATTTCATGTAAAGACTAAAGACTATCTATCTCAGGTAGTTGATCCTCCAAATTTGCAAATCATGGCTTCCTCTTGTCGTGTCTTTTTATATGGAATTCTGTATGCTGATCTTACTTGTTTTATCTGTCTTCTTATGTTGGTTTTGCCCATCGCTGACTCGTTGTATTTTCAAGTACCTCGCTTTGATTCTGATGCCAAAGACGTAGTCTATGTAGGAGATGCAGAGCCTTCTTTTGGAGCTGTGGATTTCAACAGTGTCGTGTACTGCTGTCGTGTTGGGCAGGTCCTTTATAAGGAGAAAGTTCCCTTATGGGACTCTAATTCAGGGAAGCTAACAGATTTTGTTACGCGTTTCTCTTTTGTAATAGACACCCAAGGTTTTGTCCCCTATGGCCATGGCCTTGCTTTCTTTCTTGCTCCAGTTGGTTTCACTAGTCCACTTAACTCGGCTGCAGGTTTTCTAGGTCTGTTTAACACAACAACTAGTGATAGTTCATCCCAAGGCCCAATGATTTCTGTAGAGTTTGATTCCTTCTCTAACCGTGAGTGGGACCCTCCAGTTGAGCATGTAGGGATTAACAAGAATTCCCTTTCTTCGCTTAATTACGTTCCTTGGAATGCTAGTTTGCACAGTAAAGATACTACTAATGCTTGGGTTTCTTATAATGCTACTACTAAGAATCTCAGTGTCTTTTGGACCTATGAAAGGAACCCAAATTTTCAAGGAAATTCCAGTCTTTCGTATCAAATTGATCTTAAGGACGTTCTTCCTTCATGGGTCACAATCGGCATCTCAGCTTCCACTGGCCAGTTCATGGAGAGACATATCCTTCAGTACTGGGAGTTCAGGTCTAGCTTAGATATAAAAGAGAAAAGTGAAGAGGCTCCGGAAAAAGTGAAGCTGGCAGTGGGCTTAGCAGTGCCATTAGGTGTTCTATTAGCAGGAGCCATGGTAGCATATGCAATTTGGTTGAGGAGTCACAGGAGATCTACTGGGGAAACATTAGATACAGTCAACTTATCCTCAAATACAATTAATGATGACCTCGAAAGAGGAGCAGGACCTAAAAGATTTCCTTACAGAGATCTTGCTCTGGCTACAAATAACTTCTCCGATGACCTGAAGTTGGGCGAAGGAGGTTTTGGCTGCGTTTACAGGGGATATCTCACTCGTGAACAAAAGGTGGTTGCAGTTAAAAAAATTTCGAGGGGATCCAAACAAGGGAAGAAGGAATATATAACAGAAGTTAAGATCATAAGCAGTTTGAGGCACCGAAACTTGGTACAACTCATAGGTTGGTGCCATGAAAAAAATGAATTTTTACTAGTCTACGAGTTTATGCCAAATGGTAGTCTCGATTCTCATCTTTTTGGGAAAATGGATCCCCTTGCTTGGCCTGTGAGGTACAAGATATCATTAGGTTTGGCTTCTGCTTTGCTCTACCTTCACGAGGAGTGGGAGCAATGTGTGGTACATCGAGACATTAAATCAAGCAATGTCATGCTAGACTCGGGGTTTAATGTCAAGCTCGGAGATTTTGGATTAGCTCGACTTATGGACCATGAGTTAGGTCCACAGACGACCGGCCTAGCAGGAACTTTAGGATACATGGCACCTGAGTACGTTAGAACTGGTAAAGCTAGCAAGGAATCAGATGTATATAGTTTTGGGGTGGTTGCAATAGAAATTTGTTGTGGAAGAAAGGCTAGGGATTGCGTTGATGGGAATTCGGAGATAGGCCTGGTGGATTGGGTTTGGCATTTGCATGGAAGAGGAGAAATTCTTCTAGGAGTGGATGAGAGACTGAAAGGGGATTTTGATGCAGAGCAAGCTAAATGCTTGATGATGGTAGGATTATGGTGTGCTCATCCTGATCGAAGTCTGAGGCCATCAATAAGGCAAGCGATTCAAGTCCTTAACTTTGAGGCCCATGTGCCAAATCTTTCGATGAACATGCCTGTTGTCAGCTACCATGCATCAGCTACCCCAACAAGCAGTTCAGGAGATCCATTCTTAACTTCTTCGAGTATCAATATAGGTCGTTAAACAATACCTTTTCCCGTAAAGATTTAGCGTTCCTAGTTGTATATTTCCTCTAAATTTGTATCAGTTATTCTTTTAGATATGTAAGGTTATACTTATACACATTATTCTTTCAGGCTAAAAGTCAAACCCACAAGGACAAAATTAAAATAATAAAATTTGGTCTTTTTCATCTGCAATGCAGATAGGCTGTTCTGCTAAATTTTATGCCAACTGCAACGGTAGCACTTCAAATGCTTAATTTATGGTCTTTATTCCAAATCAACATAAATGAGTTCCTCGATGCATCAAAAACTTCAATAGTCAGTTGTGGTGACGCTCACAACTGGCTGTATGAAGTCTGAAAGTGTCCCAGCTACATGATATATTTGTTCTTTGTATATTAAATTACGCCAGTAATGTTCATGAGCCTTCTTATAGTCATATGCAAACAAGACAATTGTTTAATGATCTTGAAGACAATTATGGTATAGTAGGTTAATCTTTAAGATCATTGGTATTTTTTTTTTTTTTTTGTGGTATTTGTCAATATATTCTGTTGTCGTTACACCAAAGTACACGCAGGAACAACAAACCAACATGGTCATAACAAGTCACCTGTATTACATGGAATAGCTCCATGCATATCCTGTTTAACTCTCAACGAGGGTCTTTGGTATCTTAAGAGATATGGCGCTTGGACCCAACCTATAAATCAAGATAAAAACAACACTTCTATATTCATGCATATTCTATCTCCTTCAACAGCATGGTCCTGTCCTCTTGAATTATATATAATGTTTAGGACCAAATGTCTTCAATTATTGGTGTTGAAGTTGGAAAATATATCTAGATAACGACCCATAAAAATGGTCTTGAACTTTGAAAATATAGCTAGACAGACAGGGTCTAATTATCAGAATGTTTTCAGCATGATCATGGAGTTTATTCCTAGGTACAACAAATGTTCACTTTAAGCACTTAGTTGTCCATTCATTAGTTTATTCCTCCTCTAATCTTCATGAACCTTTCAACCTCTATATAAAATTAGACATTAGTTGAAACTTAACGATCAAGTTTTGGAAGGATATGTATTAGCATCAATATTTAAATGCTCTTTGTCTCTGTCTACTTCATTCTTCCCCATCTTTACCGTGTTTTGGAAGGGTTGCCTTTATATTTTCTTTACCGTGTTCGATAAACTCCCCTAAATGTATCATGTTGCTGGCAACTTTAGATGATCTCATTTTCATATGGCAGCATGGTTCTGACCTCTTGAATTGGTTGCTATATAAAATGTTTAGGACCAAATATCTTTCTTGGTTCTTGGTCATTGGTGTTAAATAAGTTGGAAAATAGATCCAGATAACTACTTGAAACATTTAAAATTAATCAAGACAGAGACTGGATCACATTATCATAATGTATTTTTTTGCATGGTCATGGAGTTAAGGCATATCTTGTCTAGGCAAAAAATTTGATATTCCTTGGTATAACATAATTTTCTTCTGTGTTGACTTTAAGTGCTTAGTTGTTTACTGATTAGTTAATTCCTCCTCTAACCTTCATCAACCTTTATATATAATTAGGCAGTAGTTGAAATTTGAAGATTAAGATTTGGAAAGATTTGTATTAGCATCAATATTTAAATGGTCCTTGATGTATTTATTGATATATTCAGGTGCCACTGACATCGAGTCTCTCTGCATTTTTGCTTAATCATGGCCACCTTTTTCTGTTGTTCATCATCTCAAGGGATTCAAACTGCTTCCATCTTCCTCTTTGCCTATTCTTTCTTACTCTTTTTGCCCTTGTCAAAATCAGTATCTTTCGAAATCTCTCGTTTTGATGCTGATGCAACAAACATACTCTATTTAGGCGATGCCGTGCCTTCAGTTGGAGCCATAGAGTTCAACAAGGTCAATTACCTCACTCGTGTTGGTCAAGCCATATTCGCAGAAACAGTCCCGATATGGGACAGAAAATCCGGTAAACTCTCTGATTTCAGCACTCACTTCACTTTCATCATTGATACGCTATCTCAATCCAAATACGGCCATGGGTTTGCTTTCTTTCTAGCCCCAGTTGGCTTCCAAATTCCACCCAACTCACCTGGTGGCTTTTTAGGCCTATTCAATACAACTTACACCGATTCATCCCGAAACCAAATGATTGTCATCGAGTTTGACTCTTTCGTGAATGAAGAGTGGGATCCTCCATTTGAACATGTTGGTATCAACAAGAACTCAATTCATTCTGCTAATTACACCGCTTGGAATGCTAGTTTACATAGTGGGGATTCGACGGATGCCTGGGTTTCTTACAATGCCACCACCAAGGTTCTGAGCTTGTCATGGAGCTACAGGGCTGGAAACAATTCTCGAGAGAATACCAGTCTTTCGTATCAAGTTGACCTCCGGGAAGTTCTTCCTGAGCGGGTAACCGTAGGATTTTCGGCTGCCACTGGTGCCAATGTGGAGAGACATATCCTTCAATACTGGGAGTTCAATTCGAACTTGGAAATGGAAAAAAAAGGTGGAGATAATTCAAAAGAAAGGAAACTAGCAGTGGGCTTATTAGTCCCTCTTGGCGTTCTAGTTGTAGGAGGCATAGTAGCATGTGTCGTAGTTTGGAGGAGAGAAAGTAAACCTACACAAGAATCAGTAGAGACAATTACCTTAACATCGATGAATGATGATCTTGAAAGAGGAGCAGGACCGAAAAGATTTTCTTACAGCGATCTCGCTTCAGCCACCAATAACTTCTCAAATGACCAGAAGTTGGGGGAAGGAGGATTCGGGTGTGTCTACAAAGGCTACTTATCGCATGAAGGCTTGGTGGTTGCGGTCAAGAAAATCTCACAGGGTTCTAAACAGGGAAAGAAAGAGTACATAACCGAAGTGAAGATCATTAGTAGTTTAAGGCACCGAAACTTGGTGCAACTCATCGGTTGGTGCCATGATCAAACTCAATTCTTGCTTGTTTACGAGTTTATGCCAAACGGCAGCCTTGACTCTCACCTCTTTGGAAAAAAGAGCCCCCTTGAGTGGGGTGTGAGGTATAGGATAGCAACGGGTTTAGCTTCCGCCTTGCTCTATCTTCATGAAGAATGGGAACAATGTGTGGTGCACCGAGATATCAAAACCAGCAACATCATGCTTGATTCGGGGTTCAACGTGAAGCTTGGAGACTTTGGATTGGCTCGACTCATGGACCATGAGTTAGGTCCACAAACAACCGGTTTAGCCGGAACTCTAGGCTACTTGGCTCCAGAGTGCGTAATGACAGGAAAAACAAGCAAAGAGTCTGATGTATACAGCTTTGGGGTGGTTGCATTAGAGATCGCTTGTGGGCGAAAAGCAATGGATAGCATTGACCCAAATTCCGATCTGGGATTGGTCCAGTGGGTCTGGGGTTTACTTGGAAAAGGTGAGCTGGTTTCGGGGGCGGATCAGAAGCTAAAGAAGGAATTTGACGCAAAACAAGTGGAGTGTTTGATGATGGTGGGGCTATGGTGTTCGCACCCTGACCGGAGTCTGAGGCCATCAATCCGACAAGCAATTCAGGTGCTCAAGTTTGAGGGTGCATCCCCAAATCTTCCAACTAAGATGCCGGTGCCTGTGTACTACACTGCTGAAGTCAGTTCTGGAGGTGCTTCAATAACTTATACTAGCCTTGATCTTGTACGTTGAACAAATGTTTCAATACGTTGCTTATATCCATAATTATCCTTCAAATTTGTGTAAACTTTCCATAGTTACTCTTTGAACGAAATTTTAATATTGATAAAATGGTAAATATAGAATGATCAATTACAATAGAATTTAATCTTGAACTACATTATTATTCCTCATATATATACCAAAATCTTAGGGGTGTTTATTTTTTGGGTTTATTGCTTCGTTTGGTTGAAATGGACATGTCAAATGTACTCAATAAGTCATTAGCATAATCTATTATCTGCATAAATTAAGCTGCAAAGGTTGTTTTAGGAAAATGATAGTGATAAATAAATGTTTCGCCCACAGCAATATCCGTGTCTGAACTGCCAAGTAATGTTCATTAAGGTGGTAGGTTTTACCTTGATGTTTCTTACATTACTTGATAAGTTTGATGGAGAATTCATGGATTTAGACATACAGTTGGCCCGGATGCCAGCTGTGGCTGTGGGTCTTCATGGGAACTGTCTATATAACCTTGGGGATAAAGACAAGGTATGCATATATCTTATCCCGCAGACCCTATCTTGTGTGAGATAAATAGAGACAGAGTACATAGAATTGTAAATAAAAGAAGCCCATACAAACTAGGAAACATATAAAAAACCAATATTACACCAAAATGTCTGAAAACTAGAAAAGAAGTCAACAACTACAAGAGTGTTACTGTAAGTGTAAAGGGACCAACCATAACAGCTTCAATAGATACATGGGTGGACAACTTATTTAACATGGACTGAGGCTCTCAAATCTTTTTTGTCTATATATAAAATACAAACATAAATAAATAAAAGGAAATAACCTTCTACTTGTTATATATATATATATATATATATACTAGAAAAGTACTCGTTATGCAGCGAAATATATCTTGATTATAATATTCTATTTCATTCTTTATCTCTGTCGATGTTATAGTATGATCTTATGTGATTTTGAAAAAGCGATGATGGTTTTATTTTTGAATAAAATATAAATTTGAAGATATCATAAAAAATTGACAAAAATATATCGATATTGGTATCAAATTAACTATTTAAATTTTTTATTTTTTGTGTAATTTTTTAATTCATTTTTTTATTATAATTTAATTTAGTTTCAATAACGAAGTAATTTGTATTTGGTTTAATAATATAATTTTCTTATAAATATAATAATTATTTATTTTGTTAGAACTCGATAATTATCCTAGTTATATTTTAGATTTTTTATATTTTAAAATGAAATGTTTAATCTCTATTTAATTATATTTATCCGCAGTTAGTTACATGAATTCAAACATGGAGCTTTAATAAGTTGTACATATGCATAATTTATTTGTGATCTTGAATTTTAAGTAATATGCATCAATATACAGTACTTTATGCATAAAAAATAGTTTTAAGAGTTTTTGTCAAATGCTTTATAATATAGTATAGATATATATAATTGGGTTCACGTGAGACCAACCTATTTTCATGAGACTACTTTTTTACACTTGAAATTTTACAGTAAAATGTTGTGAAGGTAAAAAAAAGCCAAACCTTCACTATGTTATGAAGTTTATATATATATGGAGAGAGATTTATTTTGTAAGTGAGAACATGATTTTTTTTATTTGAAAGGTTGGGAGGTTGGCCGGCAACCAAGAATATAAATCCTTAGAAGATATAATGAATATTCCTTCATCTTAAACAAAGAAAAAGACATTTTCACTTTATATTTACAAACATTATTTTTCATTTTAAAATGCTTCTTTAATTATTATATATTTCTTCCTTTTTCTATGTATCATGAGAAAATTTAGTAAGAAAAATGATTATTCCAAACATATTTTTCTCCATATTCTCATGGATTATGATACGATATTCCCTGTCAGTATGTATATATATATATATATATATATATGTGTGTGTATTTTAGGTTAATTGTGGTTGTCCAGACCAAATCTTACATACCTGGTGTCTCGACTAATTCCAAGGGTCCTAAAAAATAGTCACGAAAATCCTTACGACTTTATAAGACATATGAAGATAATCCCTAGAAATATGTATGTCTATGTTTATATTCATATGTATAATATATATAATTAAAAAATAAATGTGTTGTTTTAAATAAATTGATATAAGAATATTTATTTTTAAATTAAATTGATGTAAAATTATATAAAGTTGGAGACTTGGAATTGGTAAATTTCATTTTCACCATTAAAATTGATTTTATTATACGTTTATTATTTTATATATTAATTAATATTTAAACCATGTAGATTATATCATCATTTAAACCTGAGCAAAAAACAAACAGATAAATATACGACGTGTATTTGTTTATGTTCTCTTCTTTTTGTCTTTTTTTCGTTGGAGGACCCACACTAGAATTAACTAAAAAACCACACACTTTAAATTTGGAAAATAAGTTTTATTTTTATTAATAAGAGTAAATTACATAAATAGTTTTGTGGTATTCGTAAAATCTCGAGAAATTATCGAAAAAATTTGCATCAGTGTCCACTGTCGACTATGTTTAAAGAAATTGTTTAGTTGGTTTTTCATTAAATTTTATGTGAATTAAACTATTTGTATTGATTAATCCAAATGAAATTTACACATCATGTTACTACAAAAATGGTCGATATCATAAATAAAAGCATGTGAAGTTAACTTGATATGACCACAAGGATTGTGGCGTAGTGGTTAAGGCTCTAGGGGATGTGGTGGAATATCTTATCTGTTCAGAGTTCTATTCCAGACGTACACAATGATAATTGTTATTAGAGTTTATCAGGACTGATTTTTTATAGTTACAGTTTGTCGAGATTAGTTCAGGCACAAACACCCTTTAAAAAGGTTAACTTGATACGTGGTATATAAGCCCACAAAATAAAAGTAACGTATTGTCAATATTTATCAAACCTTGCTACTAGAATACAAATTCTCCCATCCAACCAACCAACTCCATCGTCATGGCAAAAAAAAACCTAGTTGACTTATACCCCATCCTTAAACAACAAATACAACACTGGATCAAGATTTATCTAGAAATTTTCAGAAAAAATCAACTGCTTCATTCCAACAGTGTATATCTTGAGCAAATCAGGAGCTTCATCTCAACATTATCGAGCTTCATACCCTGAACAGATCAATGGAAGAAAAGCACCGAACCAGTGAGTAATAAACTCACAACCGAACAACCATGTATAGTTAAGTCAGACATTCCATTAGACCATTATCCAACAACCCCATAGGTTTTTTCGTGAATGATAGACAACCTTAACTAACATTAGGTCCATCAATTAATTAAAGGGCATTTCAACCTGTTAAAAAATTAATTGATGATATATGTAATAATTAAAAGAATCAATAATTAGTTGCAGAGTATGTTACGATTTTCGTCCCTGTGGTTTGTCAATGATTTTAATTTTTCTCCTTGTGGTTTAAAATTGCAATTTATTATATATTTTCATCCTTGAATTAATTCTTACCTTTTAAGTACAAAAGAACAAAACAATAATAAATAGTAATTATAATTTATAAGATCAAAAATATTAATAAATTATAAATCATAGAGATGAAAATCAGGGACTAAATCGGACCAATTAATCAATTATTAATTTGTGAAGGTTGATCTTTTTTTGCCTTCTATAAAATTTAACCATTTCCGTGTCTTCTATGTTGGTTCGAACCAGAGGGTGGGTATAGCTGCTCAACATATAAACCCTTAACCTCCATTGTCAAATATTCACGATCAATCCTGTATGGCAGGTTAATTTCACTAATTTGCTGGTTTAGTAATCGTGAGCACATATGTCGATGGATGATTTGGTCGGTTTGCTGAGAGTTCATGTCCATAGAGGTGTAAACCTTGCAATTCGAGATCTACGTAGCAGCGATCCTTACGTTATCATCCGAATGGGCAGACAGGTGAGCTTTTTGTTTCGTTTTCTATTTACACTCTTCAATCCTCTTTTGTTACGGACAGGTTCTAATATTATCAAGTAGATGTATGCTGGAATTTGCGAAAAGTGTGCAAGTATTTTCGGTGTTGAAGTTTTTTGGTTTCCTTGGTTTGAGAGGTTGATGCATCTGGAGATTTGGGAAAATGTTGGTTGTTGTACGGCGGCTTTGATGGCCGCTGATGTTAGGGTAAATTTGTTTTAGATCGTCTGCTTAGTTGTTTCCGCCCATTGTAGCAAGAATTAATTGCCTAGTTGCGGTGGCCGGAAAATAATCTCGGTTTGAGGCGGAGGGAAATTGACCTGATAGAAGTTTCTAGATGGAAAATTGAGATTTAGGAGGTGTGTAGAACTGAAAACCATCAAAAAGAATTGAGAAAATTCCTCTAAACTTTTCCCAAATTTTTTACAGAAATTGAGGACTCGAGTGGTAAAGAGAAATATAAACCCTGTGTGGGATGAAGACTTGACTCTCTCGATTTTGGAACCTCTCCCTGTTAAACTTGTAAGCTGTTCTCCAATCTCTTCTCTATATAATCATCATCATCTTAATTTCAAAATTCAAATTCTCGTTGTGACCTTTCTGCATTTGGAGCTTGATCTTAACAATTCTCAAGAACAAGTTTGCACTCCATGGTCTTCTTATCTGCCCCTTTTTAGCATTAATTGCATATCTGCTCGCAGCCATTGATGAAATGATCAGTTGCTCTACAATGTGCCTTAGATGCTAGACCTCCCTTTTGTTTCCTTCTTGGGCAGTTGCTAGAATAAAGTCTTTAGCCTGTTTTTTTTATGGTTTTTGGCTTCAAATATCAAATTCAATGGAGTGTTTTGAGCTGTTGAAGAAATGCAGGAAGTGTACGATAGGGATATATTTTCAACCGATGACAAAATGGGGGATGCAGAGTTCGATTTCAAGCCGTTCATGGAAGCAGTAAAGATGCGTTTGAACGATGATCTCCCAAACAATACAATCATCACAACTGTGAAACCAACAAGGACCAACTGCCTAGCTGAGGAAAGCCACATAACATGGACCGACAACCGAGTTATCCAAAACATGGTTCTTAGATTACGAAATGTCGAAAGTGGTGAGATTGAAATTAAGTTGAGATGGATTGACGTTCCCGACCATAAACGTAAATAGTTCATTCGACCTCTTTGCGTTTCACGCATTCAATGGTATGTTGTAGATTCAAGCATTACATCTCTTAAAGGGTATTTTAGGCATTTGAATGTACCTGTCTTGATATCTATATCCATTGCTTTCATGGGAGTGAACCAGAAGGGTTCTTGGTTTTTTCTTTGAACTTTGTTAGTCAAGTGTTTGTGAGTTTCTAATGTCAAATTTGTTGCTAATCCTAGAGATTATGATAAGTGAACTTATAAGCTTAACCACAATGGAAGGTCTTTTTGGTAATCTTGAAAACTAAGGGGACGTTTACCAAACGCTTACCCTGGTAAGCGCTTACCAAGTAACATTATCTCACCGGATGAATATGGTAAGGAACAAGAATCTTACCCGATAAGAGTGAGACAAGGACCAAAAGTCTTACGTGGTAAGCGCTTACCGGGTAAATTGTTGCATACGATATCGTTTTAATGGACTAAATCTTACCCGGTAAGTAAATAATAGTGTAAAATTTTTCCGGTAAGTACTTGTCGGGTAAGTGTTTGGTAAACGGCCCCTAAGCAAAAAATGCAATTAATTCTCCTACAACTGCATTTTATGTGAAAAAAGATGGAAGAAAGAAACTTTGTATAATTTATCACATTGCTTGTATAGTAAATGATTAGTAAGTCATGTTGCACAAGATACCGATTGAAAACCGTGTCAATCACGAATAAATGAATAGTAATCGTGTTGGGTTTATTTGGTTTGGTTTATATTATTCCGCCACCAACATCTTATATACGTGATAGTGATGTGAACGGCATTTTGATCATTTTGCCTATCCTTTAATCGAACAAATAGTGTGCAAATCTGTATAGCTTGGTACAAGCTACTGAACCGTTTTAAATTAACCCCTACCTCTCCTTCACCGGCAACCCCTTGGTTCTCCGGCGCCCTATCCTTCTCCGACAACCCTCTCCACCACCTACTTTGTTCCCACCATGCCCATGTCAGACACTGTGTGAGCGACTTGTTTCATGCATCGAAACAAAAAAGAAGAAGAAAAATAGATGATCCAAGATTAAACAAGGGGGCGAATCCGCAAAAATAGCCGATCTCACCGATAAAATTCACTTTTTAATCAATTTTGGAACCGAAATCTTATTTTAACCAGAGATTACACAAATGAGTAACACATTCGCGTAAAACCTATTTTAAGATTTAAAAAAGAAAAAAAAAATCTTTATACAAACAGGGATCTTTACGTAAATTTGCATAAAATAAAATTTAATCTAAGAATCGAGTTTACGGGAATGTGAAGGCATTTGTTTAAAATTTGATTAAAAGGAGAATTCAATTGAAAAACTGGCTAAAAAACAAATTTAGTCATGGAGATCAACTACTAGACATGGAATCCAATTAAATACAAACCCTAACGATGTTCATAATTGAGTAAAAACAAAGCAATTAGATCCTTTATTTTGTTTGTTGTCTACTTTTCCACCATATCTCCCTTCGATCCTAATTCTTGTGTTTAATTCTATCACAAAAATGGAGCGGTTGGTGGGTTTGTTAAGCATTCATGTACGCAAAGGAGTAAACCTTGCTTCCAGGGATATCCGTGGCAGCGATCCTTACGTCATCTTCCGACTGGATCAATATAAATTGAAGACTGCAGTCGTCAATAATAACATTAATCCAGTGTGGGATGAATTTCTAACTCTTCCAGTTTTTGAACCTCTCCCGATCAAAATGGTAACTCTTCTACCATTAAAATCTAAGAAATTTGCATACATCGTATCCCGGATTCTAGCTCTAGCTATCTGTGTGATTTTACTGGAGTCGTTTGGTTTATTTTTAAATCGTGCAGCGCAATGAAAATATAAGATATAATTTGTTTCATATATCTTTAGCTCTAGATCCGTTTGTTAATGATTTTTATCTGTGTGAGAATATGTGGAATCCCCCCCCCCCATATTACCTTCTAAAAGATCCCCTGTAGAGAAAAAAAAGTTCCAATACAAAGGTGAAATGGTTCAAGTCTAGCCAATTATGGACTCTAACAATTTGGTTATGTATCAATAAACAATATGATATACGTATTAATCTGATTGGATGAATTGCAGGAAGTTTATGATAAGGATGTATTTTCACACGATGATAAAATGGGGGATGCTGAATTTGATATCAAACCGTTCCTAGAAGCATTAAAACTGCGTTTAGATGACCTCCCTAGCGAGACCATCATTGCAACGGTAAAACCAACAAGGACCAACTGCATAGCCGAAGAAAGCCACATAACATGGACAAACGGAAAGCTTGTCCAAACCATGGTTCTTCGTTTACGAAATGTGGTATCGGGGGAGATCGAGATTCAACTCGGATGGGTTGATGTTCCTGGTTCTAAAGGTTTATCATAATTCTTTTTTTATGGTAAATATGGCATCTTCATGAACGTTGTGTTTCCACTATGTTTGGATCTGATTTTATTTGTTGTGCAAGTTTTGGCAATATGAAATTTTATTACGACCTTATCTGTATTCACAACTTAGTTTACGATGCACCCGTAACTTATACATCATATGACAAAAACGGAGTCAATAAGTTGTTAATCTTTCTTCTAGTTTGTTACAATACCAACCATTATAAGTTATAGTAAACTTAAACGTGCACGGTAAAAACATACTCTATTTATGTGGTTAGAAATTTTATTTTTTTATTATATATTTAAAAACCTACTTTAAACATTATTTTATTTTTAATAATGTATTTTTTTCTCACATGAAATAATAACATGTATATTAATTTTTGTTAATTAATAATGATATTATTTTTTATGGTTGTATTTTCACCACAATTTGATTGTTGTAAAATGAGTCTTGTCTCAATAAAAATGATTTAATGAAATATATGATAATTAAAGGAAAAACTCTAAAAAGAAGCGATGGTTTTTACATTTTAAGTGATTAAATTTTAATTTTTTTAAATAAATAAATATTTAAACTAATTAAAACTAAATAAATAAGTTCTTAAATAAATTATAATCGAAGAAATCTAGACAAATTTCATACTAAAAAAATTCCTGCACCTACAAATAACACAATAAGAATATGTCATTTTTCTATTGACGTATCATTAATAAAATACAATTTAATTAGAGAGAGGCTAATAACACCCCTATTAATTGCTATTGACACCGCTAAAGCTATTTAGTCATTATTATTTTTATGGTTTTTAGTATTTTTTTGTCTTTTTCTTATTATTATATTTTGTCTTATTGTTATTTTAATTTATCTTTAAAGAAA